GCCCTGTACATAGCAGGGCGGGTGGGCAAGCTTCACTCTTTGCAGCTGCATCCCATTCCAGAGTATAGGTGTGCTAAGGTTTATTCAGCTGGTTCTTTCTGGATGTACATTTGGGTTATTTCCAGTTTTTTATTTTTACAAGTATTGCTGCTTTCAGTGGTGGTGTACTTACATCTTTTTGGGGTTTTGCCAGTGTACCTTTGGGATCGTTTCTACAGGTTGCTTTGTTGGGTCATGCAGATTGCTGAGAAACAAGGCATGTGTTATTTTGCTCGATGTTGCCCCAGTTCTCTCCACAGGGATTGTATCATTTTGTGTTTGTCAGCAGTGTGTACGGTTAGCTAATGCCACACAGCCACCTAATGGAGTGTGTTGTCAAACTGGGATTTTGCTAATTTGATAGGTAAGAAATGGTATCTCTGTGTAATTTAACTTTGCATTTCTCCTGTTATGAGCAAGATCAAAGGACCAATTACATTTCCTTTTATATGAACTCTGTTCACTTTTCTTGCCTTTTTTTTTTTTTTTTTTTTTTGTAGAGGTGCTGAGTCTTTCTCATCTGTTTTGAAAAACTGTTTTAGGGATAGTAACCTTTGTCTCTGTTAAAAGTTGAAAATATTTCTCCCATTTGTCCTCTTATTTGGTTTTTGAGCTGTGCAATAGTTTTTTAAACATTACTATTATTTTCATGAAGCCAGGTTAATCCATTTTTCTTCTCGTTGCTTCTGGCCTCAGTTATGGCTAGGAAAGACTCCCCCAGCCCCAGGTTGTAGAAAAACTTAATTAGGTTCTCTTTTCTATTTTTTTTTAAGTAAATTTCTGATCCTTTTTGAATTTATAAACAGAGCACTTTTGGTGTACGCTGTGCTCTGTGATTGGCTACTTCTGTGAATTTAAACTATAAAAATGGACCCTTTGCTCTCTTCTCCAGCTTGCTTTTATACATAGATTCCTGACATCTTAGCATTTGAAGATAACATAAATGTTTATTCCCAGGGAAAAGGAATTGAATTCTGGGGAGAAGGAACTTGCCCAAGGACCCATAGCTCAGAGCTGGGGACTCTAGCCCTGGGCTGGCCCTGGAAGAGAAGGTTTATGAGGATTTGCTTCATGTCAGCCACTGAGCCAGGCACATTGCCTTCATTTGCTCTCCAGCCATAGGCCCCATCAGTGTCCCCACCTTATGGATGTGGAGGCTGAAGCAGAGAGGTGTGGTTTGCCCAGGACCATGAAGTTAGCAATATGCCATCAGGTTGGACACCAAGGTGTCTGCATGAGAGCTTGGGCCTCCCACTGGGGAGGGAGGCCTCTACCAACCTCCGCAGGGCCCGTGATGATGGAACATTGAGCACAGGCACTCTGCTTCTGCCTGCCACCACCATGGCCTCAGAGTTCCTTGAGAGTCTGGTTTCCTTTGTCTCCATGTCCAGGGCCACAGGAAGACCCTTTGAATGAACATTCTCTCCCAGGGTGTCTAATGGAGCCAGTGGTGGCAGCTCCCCAAGTGCTGACTCAGCCCCAAGTGGCAGGATATTGCTGGGAGCTAACAACCTCAAAGTCGTCCCTACTTTTCAATCTGTCCTTTGGTTCACTGATCCATTTGTATAAACACTCATTCACTTATCCAGCCATCAGTTCAGTACACCTTAGTAATGCCTACACTGTGCAGACCCAGTGCTGCCCAAGGATGACCCAGAAATGTGACACATACCAGTCCCCTGGAACTTATGGTCCTGTAGGGTAGGCAGGTAGTTGACTAAGGGAGCATAGGGTCCCACAGGAGCCAGAGCAGTGTCTCCCCTTGCCTTTCCTCAGGTTTGGGTCCACAGGAATGGTGGGGTGGTGTCAGGGAGCTAGTGCACCCCAGTCCTTCTTTCTAAGGTCCAGCAGAAAGCACTGCCTCCAGTGCTTAGAGGCAGAGGTTTGCTTCTTGTCAGTCCAGGCCTTCTATGGCGATGGGCAAGAAGCCAAGCCCGAAGAGAGAAGGGACTTCCCCAGGCACATGGTGAGTCAGCAGCTGGGCCAGGACTTGAGTCCAGCCTGTACCCCGACTCCAGGCGGTTTGAAAGTGGCAGGGATGCGAGGAAGGGCATCCTATGCTTTGGATGACTCAGCCCAGAGTTTCCTAGGTTTGTTCAGTGGGCCAAGCAGTTGTTAGATTTCAGGGATGTCGACTGATTTTCATACCTGAATACATCGTGGTATGGATCACGTCTTCGGCTTTCCCCAAAGCCAGAAGCCTTCAGCAAAGTATCTGCTTACCTTACAGAGGCCCCCTGCTGCCAGAAGAGTCCGAGTAAGGCTCCCTTCTGGATCCAGCTAGTTAGGCCCGCTTAGCGCCATCCCACGCCCCTGGGATGGGACACACCAGCTGTCGGTGTAATTAAGGTTGCCATAAAACCCACCAGCTAGACACACAAATGGCTCCTCTGCTCTTTCCCGGGGCAGGAGCAGTTGTGAAGGCGAGTAAATCACGTTCGGCAGCGATCACTTCAAAGGTCAGCCTTCCACTTACAGCAGTGTTATTGGCAGGGATCGCCCGTAACACGGCTTGTTTCCTGGCCATTCAATTTTATGGCGCCCTAATGAATTGGGCTGTTTCCATCCATTCTCAGGAAACGTACAGAACAACAGTTTTCGTTCTCCTAGAAAGTTTGTCCTGGGAGGCAGGTGTGTTGGTGGGCATGCAGGTAGTTCTGTCATGGACAGGCCGAGGGCCCCTGGCACCTTGCTCCTGTCTGGGCCTTCACACTACCCTCTGGGAAAAGCTGCCTCTGCACTATCATCATGGGATAATTTATGTGGAATCCCTGCCCAGTGGCTCTCTCTTACCCAGCACTTGGCAAGCACCGAGGAGGGCCCTCTTCTTTCCTCAACCCTTTCTTGGGTCAGTGTATTTCCTGAGCCCCTCTGGGGATCAAGATGCTGTGGCTGGAGACAGGGCTGCAGCATGAAGGCCAGAACCTGCCCACAGGAGCTCGTGGTCCTGCCCGGAAGCTGGGACCTGCTGGCCTGTGTGGGTGCCCACCAGTGGCCTTCTCTACAAGCTGCTGTAGCTCTGGAGGGTGCTCTGTGCCTCCCCCACTACCAGGCCACATCCAGGGACATGAGTTGGGCCAGATATACTCTTCTCTTGGTATTTGCTATCCCAGCCATGTCTAGATTCCCTGTGCCTCACCTGAATGGTGGTGATGGAGATGACTTTGGTAAAGGGGGAAGAAAGGCCCAATGTGGCCTAGGCAAATGGAGGCCTGGGGTGGCTGAAGTGAGGGGTGACTGGAATGGCACTGGGATGGGAGGAGCCAGTAAAGAGATTGTTCAGAACCATGATTATGGGACCCTGCTTCTTCCCTCGCCTCCCCTCCCCTCCCCACCAAAATGAATTCCAAACACAGCCCTGGAATGGCACTGTTGTGAGTTTGGAATGTTGTGCAAACTCAGGAAAAGCGGATGTTGGAGACTGTGAAGGCATGCAACACCCTCCCCCAAACCCCACCCCAGAGTGGGTCGGTGGAGCATCTGGCCAACAGCACCCCAGCTGGGTCCCTTTGGCTGGGGACATGGAGACTTCCTCCTCCTCCACACTCTGTGAGGCTCAGGGCTGGGAAGCAGCCACAGGCTGGCTTTCTGCCCTATGTTCAGAGGCTTGTAGGGCTGTCCTCTCTTCTCTGCCTCTGGACCACTCTTCAGGCTTCAAAGGGGCTCACCCTGAAATTGCTTTGGCTGGGGACTGCTTCTGAAGAGGCTCAGAGAAGAGCAGTCATTTGTCCCTATCCTCTCCAGGGAAATTGTCCTGATATTTATGGAAGTGGGAAGTGGCCAGTAGGAGACTGGGTTTGGGTCCCAGGGAAGCAGCAGGGATGGGGAGAAGCCCACCACCCCGGCAGTGAGACTTTGAGCAAATCCCTACATCTCTGAGCCTCAGTGTTCCTCATCTGGAGAATGGGTCTCAAAGCTGCCTAAATTGACTTTATAGAGTGCTGCGTGTAATGTGAATTTGAATTATATACATTTGAAAGAGGATGATAGAAAATATATTTGCAAAATTTATAGGTTGTGAACTCCAGGTTTTTTTTTTTTTTTTTTTTTTTTTTTTTTTTAATGGTCAAGACTTCCTATTTCTTTGCCTGCAGGCGAGGGAGCAGAGAACTGTGTTTATGCTGTGGCCACATGGTGGCGCCCTGGGAGCTGGTAAACAGGCCGGCTAGGACCTGCAGGAAGGCCTGAGGCTGCCTTGTATTGGCCTCTTGCTGAATATTGCAATCTAAAGCGAGCTGTTTGTGAGTTTGTTAAGTGGAGATACTTCTTAGTCCCGATTCTGGGAACCGCCCCCAACCCAAACCAGGTGCTTTAGAATGGAAAGTGAATGTGATAAAATGCTCTGGAGAAAACAGAACTCTTTGATACTTAATCACGTTGGTTTACAAGACAGGAAGCTATGAAATATTGGCCATGATGCTAAGAAGTAAAGTGTCTTTAAAGCTAATCTGTGTACTGTGGTTCTGATTTTATGGTCTCCAAGGGCTCTGGCTTTCTGCAGTACAGTTACTGTTCCAGAGAGAATAGGCTGGGGTTTTGTAAGCTGTGAATTATGTGACGTCTTTAGAAGTAAGAACCTCTCACAAAATATGGCCTGGTATCCATGGGTATCATTGGTGCTCTTTAGGTGCCCTTGGGCAATGGGCCCTTCCCAAAGCTCACTTTCATCAGGCACCAACTGCTCCCTAGGGGATTGGTGTGATTGGAGAGATCATCACGCTTCCCTGGGTGGCTCACGGGTGGTGCCCATGTGTCGATAGACGTGGGGTGGGCATGCGACAGGGAGGACTGTCTGTGGGGAGGGGCCCTCAGGCAAGGCTGTAAGGCTGTATGTATCTCCCAGCAGCTCAGCACTGCCCTCACTAGACCCACCTGCTGTCTGGGCTCTTGGTGACACTCCCTATGGGCTCCTGCCCTGTGCTCCTAGGGCCCACCAGCATGGTAGGTTTCCACTCTTGCAGGTGGTGAGAAGCTACAAGGCGACCATCCAGCAGACCTTGGACATCCTCTTCCTCCAGGAAGGCTCTGAGTTTCTGAGCAGTACAGATGCTTCGAGCCGGGACTCTGCTGACCGCACCATTATTGCCTGGGATTTCCGGAGCTCTGCCAAAATCTCCAACCAGATTTTCCACGTGAGAAACCCTATTTGGCAATGCTTTTCAGTTTGTTTCAGCTGCAGAATTTAGTCATAGCCCTAAGCCGCTGGCATCCCAGGTCACTTACTGGCAGGGATGGTTCAGCAGGCAGGATCTTTATAGACCATTTCAGGTGCCTGAAATCTCTTGGGTAGGATAGACAAGTGCAGGTCTAGGACCACCTGGAAAGCCTTCCAGAGGCTCTGGATCATAGCACTTCCATGACCGTCCTACTCATCATCTGCCTGGCATGGCTACTCCACAGGGGAAGGATGTGTAGGGGTCATCCATCCAGATCAGTAGAAGATGGCCACTCAGCCCAAGAGACTCCTGCCTTCCCTCCATCACCCCAGCCAGCCCATGGGTTTCTGTTCTATCCATCCTTGCTCAGTGCATTTGACAGGAGCTGTGACTTGAAAGTTTAAACAGGGACCCAAGTTAGACCACCTGTGTTAATAAAGTCCTGGATTCACCCCTTACAAGCCCATTATGTAGCTTCTTTGATTCTCATTTTCCTCTTAGGAAATTGAGGATGGGAATATTACTTACTTCATAGAGTCATTCTGAGAATTGAAGGAGATAATGCTTATAAAGGATCTAGTACAGTGCCAGGCACAGGGGGTGCTCCTTCAATGCATTACCTATCTTCACCATCGCCATGATCAAATCCAGCATCTTTGCCACTATCAGCATTACCGTCACCTTCGTATCACCACCATCACCATCACCGCTACCCACCACCGTCATCATCATCACCACCACTATCACCATCATCAGTACCATCACCATCACCACCATCACCACTGCCACCATCTCCATCATCATTTTATAAGATTTCAAATTAAGACATGGCTAATCTCTTTGGTACTCCTCCTGCCGAACTTAAAAATGTATATGAGGTGTACACATATACCTTCTCCCTCTCACTGCCTTTCCTTTCCTCACAGGGTTCTAAGTAACCCTGAGCAAACCAGCCTCTAGACCTTTACTGTAGGGTTTTAGTGCAACCCGCTGGGAAGGACGAGCTCTGGGAGGGGGCTGCATGGACGTGTCTGGCCACCTCAGCATTCTGAGTCCAGCAGCCTGTGTGGCAACCAGAGTACGTGGGTGGGGTGGATGAAAATACTAAAGGGCCAAGCCATTGGCCCTCCTAGAAATCACACCTACTCACTTTGTGCGGGTGAGCAGGTGCTCTGCTTGGTAGCAGCGTGCTGGGGAGCTTTTTACCAGACCACCATGGCCTCTGTGTCTCTGGTGGACCCAGAAGTCTGCAGCTGGCTTCCACTGGCTTCCCACGTTGCTCTCTGAGTTTGGGCTCTTTTAGAGAGGGTGGCTTCAGGGCAACGCTTAGAATAAAGAAGGACAAGTGTAGCTGAGAAGGGAATTTTTAGGGGTGTTTCCATGTGACCCAGCCTGTCAAACAGTGACAGTTCCTTGCCTTGTGCTGTGAACACTCTGTTCGTGCCTTTATCTTCTCGCCTGGCCATTCCACTTCTCAGTTACTGTGTGTGTGGGCCGCAGGGGAGCCTGGGCTGGGCTGGGGCTAGCCCGAGGGCTCGCTGCAGAGGCGGAGAGGTGGCTGTGTAGACTTGTTTCCTGTCACTGTGTAGCCACATACCACAAAGTTGGTGGCTTAAACTAACAAATCTGCTCTCAGTTGTGGAGGCCAGATGTCTGCTAAGTCTCACTGAGTTGAAATCAAGGTTTTATCAGGGCCCACTGCTTCTGGAGGCTCTGGGGGAGATTCTGCTCTGCTCCTTCATGCGATCATCTTCAGACCCTCTGCTCTGTCTCCATGTCACCCTCTCTGTGTGTCGGATCTCCTGCCTGCCTTTTATAATGACAGATATCCCCACGTCAAGATGCTTAATTATGTCTGTAAAAACACCCCCTCCACATTTTCTGCCATAAAAGGTGACATTTACAGCTCCCTAAGAATGAGGACATGGGTGCAGTTTGCGGGGGGTGGGGTGGGGGGAGGGCATTTTCTAGTCTACCACCAGGGCCACGAACCAAGGGATGCCAGGAAGGGCAAGGAAACAGATTACCCCCAGAACCTCCTGAAGGAACACAGCTCTGCTGACACTTTGATTATAGCCCAGTGAGACCCATGTCAGACTTCTGGCCTCCAGAACTCTAAGAGAATAGATGTGTGTAGTTGTAAGCCATTCAGTTTGTGGCATTTTGTTACAGCAGCCATAGGAAGCTTGTAGGGACCCCTGAGCCCAGGTTCGGGGGTTGGGCACAAGGCTCCAGGAGTACAGTGCTGGGTGGCATGTGTATTGGAGACAGAGGCCCAATTGGGAGCCTTTTCCATCCATCCTGTGGCCTCACTGTTTCTCAGGAGAGATACACCTGCCCCAGCCTCACCTTGCATCCACGGGAGCCTGTGTTCCTGGCGCAGACCAATGGCAACTACCTGGCTCTCTTTTCCGCCGTGTGGCCCTACCGGATGAGCAGGAGGCGGCGCTACGAAGGGCACAAGGTACTCTGTTCCTATCCCCCAGGTCAAAAGTAGGCCACTGGCCCCAGAGCCTCCTGCCAGACAACATCTGTAGTAGACATGGGGCCCCAGAGTGCACAGACCCTCTTTCTGGGTAGACGCTGTTTTCTGTTTCCTGGGTGACCACATGCCATGTGGCCTGGTGGTCACTGAAGCCTGTGAGCCACATCTAGCCCTACCTCCAGGCCCCAAGTGCTTGGCAGGAAAGGTTTTCCCTGACTTACTGGCTCACATGGACGGGTTGTGTGGGAGGGAAGGCAGGACAGAATGGGTGGGGGCCGTTTCGGCATCTGTCCCTTTTCCCCACTGAAGCCTGCGTCCCAGGGACAGGTGGGGCCAGGGGCTCAGGGGCTGTTGTGAGGCCAGACACCATGAGCTATGCTAAAGCCCTTCCAGCTGCATTCTACTAAACTGGCTTTATGAAACAGGATCCATGCTGGGACCCCAGCCTTATGGAGGGAGCTTGGGCCTTGGCTTTGGGGTGCTGGGTATGTAGCCATGCTCTGAGCCTCAGGCTGCTCCTCTGTAGAATGGGCATAATAGCTCCTGCCTCACAGGCTGCCTGGAGGAGCAGCTGTCGTGCGGCCTGCTCACCCTCTGTGTTGCCCTCTGCAGGTAGAAGGCTACTCGGTGGGCTGCGAGTGCTCCCCGGACGGTGACCTGCTGGTGACGGGCAGTGCCGACGGCCGAGTCCTGCTGTACAGCTTCCGTACTGCCAGCCGGGCACGCACGCTGCAAGGGCATGCACAGGCTTGTGTTGGCACCACCTTCCACCCTGTGCTGCCCTCTGTCCTCGCCACCTGCTCCTGGGAGGGCGACATTAAGATCTGGCACTGAGCCTCCTAGTGCAGAGCCTCCCGGATGCCAGCCAGGCCCCAGGCTCCCATTCTTCCTTGGGGTGGGCGGGTGTGAAGAAGTGCTGAGGTTGCCTTGATTGAAGCTGGGTGGAGGGTGCCTCCCTCCACCCTGAGCCTCAGGTTCCACATCTGTAAAATGGGGGAAGAGATCTGTTTGCTTCAGGGTTATGAGGACCACCTTAGTGGAAGTGCCTGGATGGAGGGTTGCTGGTGGTACTCAATAAACATGAGTGTTTTGCTATTTCTTAGGTTATTTTAGCGACAAATATGTGTTGGCCGTTTCTGTGCACCTGCCCAGTCCCTGGCCCTCTGAGGCTCCAAGACAAAGAGACCAGTGAGAGCTTGAGATGGGGCAGCCCCCTCTGCTGATCCTGATGGCGGACAGGAACTCCATGTGGGAGCATGGCAGTCCCTGCCAGTGTCGTAGAGCCCAAGCTTCCTCCCTCTCCCAACCAAGCATGGCCCAGGGAGTCCCGCTGCCTGTAGGGTGTGCGCATTGTCCCAGTGAAGAAGCAATGTGTGGAAGGCTCCTGAGGAAGCCTTGAGGGGTTACACTAGCAGGGAGACCCAGCTCCCAGGGCCTGGGCAAGTAGGTGAGCTCTGGCACCAGGACCCACCAGGACCATAATTGAGGGGCCATTCCAGGGACCCAGGGATCCACTGTAGGTGAGGAACCACAGCTACCATGGCTCAGGGCAGGGGTGTCCCTGTGGCCTTGCAAGGCTTCCTGGTGGAGGAGACCATGAGCTAGTGAGGAGGGATCCCCAGCACAGGAGTCAGTGAGGAAGCATAGAGGACCTGAGGAGGAGGCCCGTGAGCAGACGAGCCATGGGAGTAGGAGCCGTGGGGTACCCAGCTTTGCCCCTCCAGAACCTGGGTTCTAGGCCAGCTCTACTCTCAGCACAGCTGAGACCTTGTGAGTCACCTCTCCTCTCTGAGCCTTAGTCTCCCCATCTGTAACACAAAGTCAGGACCTGCAGACTTGCTGTATGGCTCCAAGGAGGTCAAGTCTGTGGTAGGTGTTGGCACAGCAGGGGTTCCATTCCTGGGAATGGGCATCTGGAGCTTGCAGAGGGCTGTAAATATGTTTATTGCCGTACATCTGACTTGCGTGGGGGTTTATGAGTCAGGCGTTCCAGGCAGAGGGAAGGGCAGGGCAAAGGCCCTGAGGTGGGGGTTTTGCTAAGGGCCGACCCCTTTTCTAGCCTTCATCCCTGCTCCCCCACCCTGCCCTGCAGTTAGTGCACAGCCTGGCAGGCAGTGGGTGTTGAGTGGATGCAGCACTTGCTGTGCCTGAACTGGGGTGGGGAGGCTGGAGCAGAGCATGTGGGTAGGGGTGGGGGAGCATGTGCTCTTCAGGCTGGTGAGAGACGTGAACTCCCAGGCTCATGCGGGACACAGGGTGCCAGGCAGGGTGTTGGGAGAGCTCGGGTTGGGAGCGCTTTCTCTTTTAAGGCTTAAGAATGGCTGATTTGGTGAAAAGAAAGATAACCACATCCCATGCTCAGAGGGCCTGGTCCTCGGCAGAAGCGGAGACTCCATGGGGCACTGCCCCTGGCAGAGTGGCCGAGGACGTGGAGGCTGAGCCTATGTCCGTTCAGAACGTGGCGCAGGTGATGGACACTCCTCCCTCAGCCCTCATGTGGCTGCCCTGCTGAGCCTCTCACACACTTTCTCACCTCTGCAGGAGCTCTCCTGCTCCGTGTGGAAGCTCAGTGATCTCAGAAGCCTGCTCTCAGTATCCCTGATGGGCTAATGGCTCCTTCCACTGTGCTCCCATGGCACGGTGCCTCAGGGCCTTTGGTCCCACTCTGAGCTCTGCTGGGTCATGATTTCCCCCAGTGCCCCCTGGCTTCCTGCCTGTCTCGTGCAGTGTGCAGACAGGGGGCCTTCAGGGAGCCTCCCCTCTCATTCTGGGTCTTTCCCTTAGCTCTGCTGGATGTTGTCTCCCCACCCCACCGCTCTGCCCCACAACATAGGTGTGTGCGGTGGGATGTCAGCTTCACAGGGTTCCAGGTGTCTGTTCCCTGCGGGACACCTGGCTCCTGGCCCGCAGTGGGTTTTCTATGAATAACTGCAAGTGTGGCCTGTCGACAGGACATAGACTTTGGGGTCAGACAGACAGACCCTGCCATCACCTTCCATTGTGTGGCTGCAGGCAAGTGCTGAGCCGCCCAGTGCCTTGGTTTCCCCTCCTATGAAATGAGAATTGATGGTATTGATGGTACTGAGCTGGTGAGGCTTAATGAGGTTGGGTCTGTACAGCTCTTGGCAGGACCTGTATACAGTAGGCACTCCGGAAACAGCAGCTAGGAGTATTAGTATTAGTAATATTAGTATCAGACCACCACTTGATACAGGAACTGAGCCAGTTTAGACCAGAGGGTGCAGTTTGGCCCCATTGTCAGACCTCATCATGGCACAGTGAGGATTGATGAGACCCTCTCTGGATTTGGGCCTGTGCCTGGTTCAGACCACCCAGCAAGGGGCCGCCCCTTCCTCTGTTCCTACTTGACAAGTCTCCGGGAAGGACCCTGATTGACCTCTGGCACACGCCCACTCCGCTGGACCAGGGGTCCTTGGCCAGGCATCACTCTCACTACGGAGCTGGAGGGGAGAGTGATGGGACCCACTGCATAATGGTGTGTCTCCCCGGATCCAGCCCGAACAGGCCTTCTGCACACATTTGTCAAATGAATGAGTGACGTATCAATGAATCCAGACACAGGCCAGGAGGAAGGGCTGCCCTTGTTGCAGTGCAGGGGCGCCTGGCTTTCCCAGAGCACCTCTCATCTGCCTGTCCCACCCCCCATTTCCACTGTCTAGCCCCAGATCCTGGAGTCCAGATGTCCTGCTGTCTAGTGTAGCCTGAATGGGGTGGTTTCCTGCCTTTCTTGCGTGCAATGTCTTCTGAGTGAGAATTTCAGCGCCTGGTTTTCTGATTGCTTTCCCCACTGTGACATGTTACTATTACCACTTTTTTTTTTAAAGGTTTGTTTATTTATTTTAGAGAGAGCTCACAAGCTGGAGGGGCAGAGGAAAAGGGAGAGAGAGAGTCTGAAGCAGACTGTGCTGAGCAAAGAGCCTGACGTGGGGCTAGATCCCATGACCCTGAGATCCTGACCTGAGCTGAAACCAAGAGTCAGACTTTAACTGACTGAGCCACCCAGGCGCCCCTTTTACCTTTTTAGTATGAGCGTTGTTTGTACACCATATTAAATCAGGCTTTGGTGTGAGTGCTGGGTGTGGCCATAGGATGACTGCCCTGCCCAGCAGCTGCCCAGCTCCTCTCCTGTGCGGAGCACACAGCCCGGCTGCCTGGGGCCCTGTGGGGTTTGGAGCCAGGAGGCCACTCAGGCCCCAAGCCCACCACTCACTTGCTTGGGATGTTGGCAGGTGCTTCGCTTCTCTGAGCCTGCTTCCTCATCATGAAGTGGGCTTGCTGGGGAGGAGATGCAGATCGTTACCCTCTCAGCTTCACCTGGGGCAGACACCAAGTCTCTGCGAAGTCTGTTTCTTTTCTGTGCAGCTCACCTTGAGCCAACCAAAGCTCTGATCTCCTGGGCAGGGGCACATGCAGGGCTCCCCGCTCTGGCTATTTCTTGGTGCTCTCCTCTGTGGACTTGGTTCCTCAACTCCATGCCTTATAGGTGCCAGCTGACTGCCAGCCCCTCCCTTCTGTAGGTTATTTTATTGGGAAGAATGGCAGGCGTACTCCGTGCCTTTATCTGTTTCTTTTTCCTAATGCTACCTTCCAAGGAGCCTTCTTAAAGGCTCACTGATCCTCTGCAAGGTGCTGGGGAGTTCATCATTTGCAAGTTTAAAATAAAAGGGCTAAATTTAGAAAGTGTGGAGCTGGAATGAAAAGAAGTGTGGGCTGTGCCTTCCACCCACCTTCCCAGGGCTGAGTGCTTACCTTTACCCTCACCTATGAATCTGAGCACAGATCTGAAGACTCTGTGGGAGCAGAACGGTTTCATCTTGAGGTGCCAGCATGTGGCTGTGTATGCTTGCCAGGTGTGGCCAGGACTGTGTCGAGTGGGGTTGATGCTTGAAGCCCCCCGCTAGGTGGCCCCACCTCTCAACTGCTGCTTAGGAGACCTGCTGACCCTGAAGTCTGCTCCTTCCCTCTCCAGCCTAGCCTGCGGCCCTCCTGCACCGGGACCACCAACTGTCATGAGGAGGACTCCTGGGAATCTCATCAGTGTCCCTAGGCTCCAGAAAGGGAAACTGGCCCAAGGTCACATGGTCAGCGAGTGGCAAAGCGCAGCCCGGCACTGCCCTGGCTGGGGGTGGAGAAGTGTGCATGGATTGGTAGGAGGGTGGTTGATGTGCAGGTGGGGATGGGCCAGGGGATGGAGGAGGGAAGCCCACCCTATGGCCTGGCTGGCTACCTGGGTAGATGGAGCTAAGAAAGTAGAGGCAGAGGCCTCACCACAGCCCAGAAGTTTCCATGTAGCAGAACATCCCAGGACAGTTCCAGATGGAAACCAGTGGCCCCAGGCTAAACCCTCAGGCAGGCACATGGAAGCATTCATTGAGCCATTTCCGGAACTCATCTGTGCCTCTCCACAGGCTGTTTGTTCCCTTTGCCTGAACTGCCTGATGAACTCCTATTCATCCTTCAGCACCCAGCATGAGCCCCCTCTTGGAGACTTGCTTGCTTCCCCCTGGAGCAGCAGGGCCCTTCGCCTCTCTGGGTGGCCTTGAGACAGCATCCGCTTTCCCCCAGCTCTGAGCTCCTCATGGGCCACTGTCTCTATGGGCTGCACGGGGCTGGCATCAGCCGGCCCCCTCATCAAGAAGAGGAGGGAAGCACCGAGTCCTCACCCAAGGGGATTCTGAGGGAGTCACTGACCAGAGCCACTTGAACTCCTAAGCCGCAGTGTCCTGCTGAGCTGGTTTTGAGCCTGGGGAACTTGGGAAAACCAAGTTTTTCCAGCTCAGCCCCACAAGAAGTGGTTTGGGACTGCTTTACATAGCAGTCAAGGTGGTGTCAGCCTGACCCTGCTACTCCAGGTCCTGTGATGGAGCTCTAGACACCCCAACCTGCACTCCAGGTGGCCAGGTCAGCCCATCTGTAGGCCAGAGAAGTCATTGTCCCCACCGAGCCCTGAGCAGGGCCCTCTGGGAATGAGACCCTCTTAGAGCTCTGGCTGTGGCTGGTTTTGGGCTTTGTGAGGTCCGGAGGCCACCTGGGGGGTGGGGGTGCAGGTTCTGAGGTGATGATGTGGAGGCTAAAGCCCTGAATGTGAAAGGGCCCTCTCCCAGGCTGCAAAGCCCTCAGGGTCCCCAGCCCTGCTCCCCCGATTCCCTAGACCCCGAGGAGCTAGAGCCAGGAAGAGGCACCCCGCCCCCGTTCACAGAGCTGATGCGTGGGGCTGACGAGGCTCGGGTTCCCCTCTGGGAACACCTCTGAGTGTCTGCAGTGCCAGGGGCCACGTGTTTCTCCCTGCACCCTCCCGGTTGTTCCCCATCTCATTCGGGGTCTCTTCCTGTCTGCCCACGAGGAAACTGGGCCCCCAAAGGGGAGCTGACTCCCGCGCCTCTCACAGTTGCCTCTGGCTTGGGGAGACTGCTTCCTGGGGCACATCTCCCAGGGAAGGGGGGCCCTGGGCTCTCCTGCAGAGGCAGGACAAGTGCAGGGATGCCGGGAGCCATCGCTGATGCCCACCCTCCTTGGGGTCGCCTGGCAGGGGGCAGACCCTCCCTGGATTCACACGGAGCTGGGGGAGTCCGGGCACCTCAAGGCCTGCACCCAGACCCGGCTCGGCTCTAGCGGCAAGTGCCCAGGCCCTCGGAGGAAGCAGACGTAGAGCCCTGGGAAGAGTGGCCTCCACCCTAGGCCTTGCAGAACCACGTAGATGTTCAGAGACCTCGATGAGCGCGCACGTCCGAGATAACTGGGCCCACGAAGAAATGAGGCAGCAAGGGCAGGACCCGGCTGTGCCCGCGTGTTTCGGGAACTAAAAGGCAAGCTAGAAAAGCTCTCCAGGGAACGGGACACCGTTGGAGTGGCAGGGTGGGTTTGTGAGACCAACAACATCTAGGAACGGAACAATTAATGGGAAACTACAAGCCCAGTGGCTGTGTCTGGCGGCCCCGTGGGCAAAGCAGACAACTTGTGAAGTGGAAGGCGGATCTCGAGGGCTGTGAGCCCAAGTGCAGGAGACCCAGGAGGGGGTGCAGCTGCACAGACTTCCCTGGGCAGTCCCAGGAAGAGAGAGGACACGGCATTTAAGAAAGTTGAGAGTTTTCCAGAACTGATGAAATACAGCAATCCACAGATACAAGCCTCCCTGTGAATTCCCAGGAAGGATAAATGCACGAGCGAGCGAGCGGGAGAGGCCAGGGGGCGGTGCCAACAGCATCTCTGTGCGCGGGGAAGGGGGCACCCCGCTACCTCCCTCCCCAGTGAGAACACCCCTCAACATGGGGCAAAACAGACATTTCAGAGAAACGAGAGCTGCCCCGAAGGCAGGCCTCGGGACCCTCCAGGAGTCTGAGACCCGAGAAAGGGCAAAGGGGCAGAAATGTGTGGGGGAGAGGAAAGGAATGTCCTGGAAGGGGTGAGAAGAGCGCCCAGGGGTGGGGACAGGGGAAGCACTCGGATGCTGGCGGGAGGACACGGGGTGGCAGCCAGGGCCGCACGTCCCCGCGGTCGGAAGGAACAAGCCAGAGCCAGGTCCTTTCCACCGATGTCTTTTATTAATGAACGAAAGTACAGTACTAACTGGGACAGGGCATGCATCGCGGACGACGGGGAAGCAAGCCACAGAACCCGGGAGTCAGAGGGCCTCATTACGTGTGAGGTAGAGCGAGGTGGTGCCGGGGAGCGGGACACTGGGGGACGAGCACCGGCCCCACTCGGGACGACGGACCACGGGAGAGCTGGGGTGGTGTGTCGGCCACACGGCGAGAACAGTTTAAAAACATGTCACATCCCTCCACCCGTTCTAGTTCCCCTCTTCGTGGACAGAGCTTCGGGTTCCCTTGTCACCGGCTCACTGGGGTGTCTCCACGGGACGCCGTCCTTCCCCTCCCAGGGACAGGCCCCACTCGTCCTCCCCCGAAAAATAAAGGAGCTTTGTGTTGAAAACGCCAAGGCGGCCGTCCAGGGAGCTGGAGGCCAAGTGCGTTAAGAAAGACCCTTTTTCTCTATAAAAATAGTTTCACTTTATAAAAGGGGGGAATGCTCATCTCAGGTGGGGAAGGATGTCGGGAGTGAAAAACGTTCCACCGTGGGGGGCCTGGGGTGGACGAGACGGCGTGGGGGGCCTCCTCGGGCTCGCGGGGCGGGGGCGGGGGGCGGGCGTGGGGGGCGGGGGTGGCCCCGTGGCCGGTTCAGTTGAGCAAGGTTCCGTAGAGCTGGGCTTTCGTGAGGCTGTCCTTGCGGCTGAGCCCCGAGCCACCAGTCCGCGGGAAGGCCGGCTGGGGGCTGAGGCGGGCGGCGGGGTGCATCTCCGGGGACGCCTCCATGGAGCTGGGCTCCAGGGAGTCCCTGGAGCTGTGGGGGCTGTGCTCGGGCTCGGGGCTGCCGCCCGGCCCGCACAGCTGCACCCCGAGCCTCTCGGCGTCCCCCTGGCTGGGCGCGTAGCCGGGCAGCGGGTCGGCCGCGCGGCCGGGGCTCAGGCTCAGGTCGCCGCCGGCGCGGAGGAAGCGAGGCTCGGCCAGGTGGCCCTGCGAGAGGTCGTCCCCCTCGGAGAAGCTGTCGGCCTTGTAGCTGGCGTAGAGGGGGCTGGCGCGGCCCTCGGCCTTCTTGCCGGGGCTGCTGCCGCCGCTGCCGTAGTAGCGTTCCGAGAAGCTGCAGGGCGACGCGCGGCCCGCGGCGGGGGCCGGGTACGAGTAGGCGCCCACGTCCTCCACGCTCAGCGGCCGCCACTGGCCGCGCGCGTCCTCCCCGGGGAGCCGGGCCGACCCCGGCTTGGCCCGCAGGCTCCACAGGTTTGGGGGCATCAGGGCCTGCCGCGGGCCCGGGGACGCGGGGAAGCGGAAGGGCTCGGCCGGGTACGGGGACACGGTCCGCGCGAAGCCCGGCGCCACCTCGGCCTCGAGCGGGGCCGCCACGCCGGCCGCGGCCTTGGCGAAGCGCGGGCTGCCCTCGTAGGCGGCGGCGGCGGCGGCGGCGGGCGGCTTGCGGTCGAAGAGCTCGTCGCGGCTGTTCAGGTAGATGGCCTGCTGCGACGCGGTGAGCGTGCTGGCCTGGGCGTGCTCCTTCTCCTCCGACGTGGCGCTGAAGCTCGAGTAGGAGCTGGACGTGGGCAGGGAGGCCGCGTAGCCCGGGAAGGCCTCGTGCCGGAAGCCCGCGGGGAAGGCGGCCGCCTCGGCCTCCTCCTCGTCCTCGGCCGCGCTGTCGGTGGAGTTCTGGGCCCGCAGGAAGCCCACGTCGCTCACGGGCGCGTCCACGCTGGGCCGCCGGGAGCGCCGCCGCTCCTCGGGGCAGTAGAGGGCCGTGTCGCTGCAGTAGATGTCGCCCTTGTAGGGGGGCCGCGGGCCCTGCTTCTCCACCCCGTCCCGAAAGGCCAGGTCGCGGGCCGAGGCGTCCGACAGGCGCGAGGACAGGCTGCTGGGGTCGGGCTTCTCCAGCACCTTGGCGATGACGCAGGTGGGGACGCTGTCGGCATAGGCCGGGTGGCAGAGCGGGGAGGGCAGGCTGCAGCCGTGCTTCTCCATGTGCAGGCTCACGCGCTCCTGGAAGTCAGAGGGCAGCTGCAACGGGGCAGGAGTGAGGAGGGGAGGGCGGGACAGGGTAGCGTCAGCCCGGCACCTGCGGCTGTGCCCGTGGCCGACACGTGTGCAGACGGAGGGAGGGGGACCGCCCAGGGCCTCTCGAATGGCACCGCTAGAGCCGGCTCCTGGAACCGTGTGTCACAAGCTCCTGAGATTCCCCGAGGGCCCCCAGTCACCCCCATCTCCCCGGCCCCCCACAGCTGGGCTCTGAAGAGCCCCGAGGGTGGCACCAGGGGCTGACCTGGCCCCTCTTGGGGCTGCAGGCCCCTCGTTTCCTCCCACCCAGGGGCTTACTTGCTCTCCCAGCCCCAGGTCTGTCGGTGGCACCCCTGCCGGGTCACGAGGCCTGGGTGCTCCTGAACAAGACAGACTCAGATGCAACACGGATTGACGACACGAGCGCCTGGCGCCTCGTGGGATGTCCCGCGACTGTTTGATCTATTTTGACTGTTGCCGGCATGGCCCAGGCCCAGGGGAGAGGGAATATGGACCCCCCAGGCCTGGGTGGGGGCAGCCGGCAGGGGTGGGGGTCCACAGGCCAGTGTGGCTTTGGCATCAGGGAGCCCTGATCTCTGAAATGGGCACAGCCATTGTGCCCAACCGAACCACGGGGTTTCTGTGAGGCTCACCCGGGCCCCTCTGCCCCGTCAGCGCTCAGCGGGTAGGGGGCCTGGAGCAGCCCCCAGAGAAAAGCACGGGGACCGGCAGGCTGTCGCCGCTGGGTGAGGAGGTGTGCGTGGGGGGGTGGCCCCTGCACCGTAGTCAGAAAGCAGGGCAGGGTACTTGCAGGAGGGAGGAGGGCCGTGACTCGGGCTCTCCAGCACCTTCCCTTGGGGGGGCCTGTGGGCAAGGAGTCCAGGCAGGCCTGGGGGCGAGGCTGGCCCGGCTGGGGGTGCTCGCGTTACCTCGGACACCTTATGGACCCTGCCGTAGGTCTGGCTGCACTGAAGGAGCTGCGCCGCTAGATTGCAGTCCTTCCTGTAGAGCTCCTGGAAGACAAGACAAGGCGTTTGGGGCAGGCTCGCCCCTTGCCACGGTCCTTACCACGGTCCCTGACACCCGAGGCCCAGTGGCCAACACAGACCAGGTGGGGGGACAGCTGTGCAGCTGGCAGGGCCTCACGCCCTTGCCTGCAGAACGGGGGCCTCCGTGCTGACCTGGAGCTGCTGGTGCATGGGGAGGTGGGGGCAGCGGCGGAAGGAGGGACTCCGGGGGCCCCCGAACCCCCAGGCACGGAGACCACGCAGGGAAGCGTGTCGGCACAACAGGTGACAGGGAACGTGCCCACAGCCCCTGCCTCCCCGCGTCTCAGACTTGCTCCACGCATCCCCGCTGCTCAAGTGTGCTCTGCTTATGGGGGTGGCTGCAGGGCGGGGTGAGGGTCAGGGTGAGGTGGGGCAGGTGGCCTGTGTGACCCAAGGTCCGGGCAGGGACTGGCTCAGCGTCCTGAGCTGAAAACAGATGCAAACAGTAGGACTCGAGGGCATTTGGTTTCATCTTTGGAAAATCTCTGTTGCATGTGCCTGTGGTTGGGCCTTGCACTCCCGCCCCCACCCGGGATCCTTGGCAGGGAGGGCGCTAGGGTGTACCGCGGGACCCCAAGAGCTCAACCAGGATCGGGCATCCTGCAGCTCAGGCAGGCTGTGGGAGGCAGGGGCACCTCTGACCCCTACCCCACTCCTGGAGGCTCCCCCACCTCCACCTTCTGTGCTGAGGCTGGTGCCCCCAACTTGGGGTGCAAAGTGGAGAGACACTGGGTCCCCAGCCTCCTCGGTGTCTCCTGAGGCCACGGGAAGGGCACGGTTGGCTGAGAACCGAGAACTGGCCCCCCTGAGGCCCCAGGCCGGCTGCCCCCGGCGTCAGAGGGCTGTGAGCACTGCCTGGCCGGCCCAGGTCTGCCAGCGCGTCCCGGGTCACTCAGGTTCCCTGCGCCCTGTGCGGCCTGTGCTGGGGCCTATCCATCTGATCTCTGCCCTAAACTCCAGCCCCGCTCTCCCCCTGATGGCCTGCCATCTCGGGCTTCTCCCCTCCGGGCTCTGAACCCTGCAGTTGGGGGGGGCCCTTCTCTTCCCCCACACCCCACATCCACAATCTCGGCTAATGTCCTGGGTTCCACCTTCGACACAGAACCAGAACCTGAGCCCTGCTCCCCACTCCACAGGCGGCATCCTGGCCGAGCCACTGTCCTAGCCTGGATCGCAGCCACTGCCACCTCCTGGAGCCTCCCGCTGCGGCTTGTCCCTGCAGTCTGTTCTCGGTGAGCCCAGAAAACTGTTAGGTCCAGTCACGTTACTCCTCTGTTCAAGAACCTTTGGTGGCTCCGTACTTCACTCACAATAAAACCCAGGTTCCTGGGACGCCGGGTGGCTCAGCGGTTGGGCATCTGCCTTCGGCCCAGGGCATGATCCCAGGGTCCCAGGATCGAGTCCCACATCGGGCTCCCTGCAGGGAGCCTGCTTCTCCCTCTGCCTGTGTCTCTGCCTCTCTCTGTGTCTCTCAGGAATAAATAAAATCTTAAAAAAAAAATAAATAAATAAAACAAAAGCCAGATTCGTAGAGCAGCCTGCACAGCATGGCCTCCTGTTCTCTTTCTGACCTCAGACCCTGGGCTGCTTGCTGCCCCCAGGACTCCCCTGGCCCCTCTGTTGGCCTTGCAGACCCTCCTCTGCCACTCCGGTGCCTTCCGCCCACAGGAAGGCTTTTCCACCCGGGGCCAGCTCTCTGGCCCCTTCCAGAAGGACCCGAACGACTCCCCAGCACTGTCTGCTGGGTGTCTCTCCCAGGCGCGTGAAGCACTTCTAGCACGTGGCGCGGCCTGCCCATCCACCGTGTTTACTGCTTCCCCGCTCAGGCGTCCGCTCCACGTGGGCAGGGGTTTTCTGCCCGTGTCATTCACACCATGTTCTCACAGCCCAGGAGGGCCTGGCAAGAAGCAGCCGCCGTGAGTGAACGTGCGGTCAGCCGTCGGGAGCGTGGCGCGCGGCTGGGCCTGTCTCGTGGGCCCTTGGAAGCAGGGCAGCCACGCGGCCCTGAGCCCCACCGGGGCCAGCGGGGGCAGGAGTCCCGAGTGAGCATGCTCGAGCCGTTTCCTTCCAGCACAGTCCTCCCAGATGCCCTCGGCAGCGTATCTCCGGTGAGGCGGCCCCGTCCTCCCACCTTGCCCGTGCCAGCCCCCGAAGCCTGGAAGCCCCCCGGGTCACAGGTGCAACACTCACATTGTCCTCCGACAGCTTGTCGATGGTCACCTTGGCCTCCAGCAGGTGGCTATTGAGGGCAACGATCTCGTGGCTCAGCGCTCGCTTCTCTTCTTCATAGTGCTGGCCCTGGGGCGGGGGTGGAGGGTGTGGGAAGGGGCCGCTGGGGGTCGGCCCCACAGGCCCCCGGGTGCCCTCTTGTAGTGATGAGGTTTCGCGAGACCAAGGAAGGTGGGAGTTAGGGCACTGACCACAGGTTCAAATCCACCTGTGCTCCAGCACCGACGAGCCAGACGGCCTTGGGCGGGTGTCACTGCCTCCCTGGGCCTGTTGCTCACCCGCGCCCCCCGCGCCCCCGACGGCGACGGCCTGCCCCCGGAGTGCCCGCTCCGCACCGGCCGGTCCCTGCCCGCACCTCTTCCTTAAGCCTGTCCTCTTGCAGCCTCCAGCTGAGCTCAGAAAGCCCAGGGTCGCCCGTCTCTGCTCTGGCAGCAGGTGCTCGACACCCACTGGTGATTTTCAGAAACAAAGCGAGCCCATAACCAAACGAGGACCAGGGGGCACCTCGTATCGGCCCCTCCCTGACGCCAGCCCATTCGAGACCAGGAGGCCAGCGCCACCGCCACCATCCCTCTCGTCCAAACTGAGGTCTCGACAGCCTGATCGACTTAAAAAACAGGCGGCACGGCTGAGGCCTCGTGCAGATGGTGTGAGGGTCGCCCGGAGGGTCTCTGCCCGCGCCGGGGTCAGGGCAGCACCATCTCCCCCATTCTTCACCCAAAGCCGGGGGGGGGGCCCGTGAGAGGCACAGCTGGGCTCAGACATCCTTCCGGCTCAACCCAGGGCCTGAACTCAGGCCTCTGTCCCACCAGGTCTGGGTCCCCAGCCCAGGTCCTCCCTCCCACAGCCCCCTCGCACCTCCAGGTCCGGTGATTACACCATGCCCTGGAGGCTCACGGGGCAGCTCGGAGCCCTCAGACTTCCCGGTCCTGACACCCCCGGCTCACAGCAGGAGGGGGGGAACTGGCCCAGCCCCTGGTGGGGTGCACAGGCCGGGAAGCCAAGCCTGTCACCAGCTCCTGCACAGTGCACAGGCAAGAGATGACAGCCCGGCTGGTGGCTCACCACCGGGGTTCCCGGCTGGGGGTGCTGGGGCGGGGCCGGCCCTCACCATGCGGTACAGCTTGTCTTCCAGCTCCTGGTTGATCCTCTGCAGCGCCATGTAGTTGCTCTGAATCCTGGAACAACGGGGTCGCTGCTGGGCCAGGCCTGACCCCGCCGTGGCCCCCACGGCCACAGAGCCCACGAGCAGGGCTCGGCTGGACACAGCCCCCTGCCCCTGCCCCCAGCCCACCCACTGGTGCCACCCTGGCCTACTTGCTCCTCTGCTTGCAGCAAGAAGCTAACTTGTAGAGGCCTTTCGTGGGCCAGGGTCGAGGACCCCCTGGAGATGAAAAGGGAAGGCCTGTACTCACAAGCGGCTCTGTCCGGTCCTTGCTCAAAGCCAGCTTACTCACATTTAAACACGGTTCTTGCAAGCCTGGCTAAGGGGGTTTATATTCAACAGCAGGTTAGCAGGGCAGAGACTTAGAACTGGCCACGCAGTGGGCCCTAGGCTGAGTGCTGGGGACACATGGTGGGTAAAACATGCTCCCCCACCCCCACCCTGCAACCCTAGAAGAAGGGGGAAGGTGGAAGCAGGTGTTGGGTGGGCGTCGGGTGCCATATTTCTACTACTGCCGTGTACTGTGATGGTGGAAGGGGATTTGGGACAGTGTCCATCCTCTTGACAACCTGTGTCCCTGTGTGCCCACTGGTACTGGGGAAACAGCCTCAAAGTGCTTAAAGCAGAGAGTGGCAGAGGCGACACCTTCACTGAGTTCTGACTGCATGGCCTAAGCCTGGTTCCCAGGCAACTAGATGGGGGAGGGGGCCCGTGAGGGGCAGACAAACAGCCCTCCTGGCAAATCCCGTCTGGGGCCAGCACCAGCCCGCGCACTATAAATGTTCAAAATAAACCGGGCCAATGGCAAACTTTGCATTCAGTTGCTGCCTTCCTCAAGGCTGCAAAGCGTGCAGCACGTTTTAGGACAATATCTTAGATACGCCGAACGATCTTAGGAAAGTTTGGTTTGCAAGGGAGTGAGTAGTCGGGTCCGGCACACCTTGCCCACCACTCCACTTGCTGCCACGCTGCTCAAGGGGACGGTCCCTACACACTAGTTCCTCTGCAGGGCTAAGCCGTGGCTTTTCCTATCAGGCTCAGGGGACGGCGGCTGGGGACCTGGTGGGCCCGGAGGGGTCTGGAGATGGCTGCATGTGTGTCCCGGTGCTGTCCCCCCAAGACCAGAGGAGAGGAACGAACAGAGGATAGAGGGGTGCCTGGAAGAGCCTGTCGTGGCAGCAGCCAGACGCAGGGTCAGGTTCTGACTCTGCAAGAGGAGCTCGTCCCCCCCCCCCCCCGGCCGGACCCCGCCTCCCCGGGGAGGCCGGTCCTCGGCTCAGGGGGAGGCAGGGCCCCCCTGGAGGCAGGCCCCGCCCCGGCCCGCCCCCCGGCCCGCCCCCGCCCGTACCTGCGCAGCTTCTCGGTGACCTTCTCGAGCTCCTCCTGCGCGCGCCGCAGCTCGATCTCCAGGTAGTGGCGCGTGGAGTCGAACTCGGTCTCGAGCTTCTCGAGCTTGTGCGTGGTGTAGGACAGCCGCTTGCGCAGCTCGCCCTTCTGCTCCTGCAGCGCGCTGCAACGACACGCGGCGGCGGGCCGGGCCGCGGCGCTGAGCGCGGGAAGGCAGCCCGAGCGGGCCAGCCGCGCCCTGGGTGCGCCCCGACGCCCGGCCCGGGCGCGCGCACCCGACACCCCCGCCGGCGCCCGGCCCCGGGCACGCAGAGGGCGCGGCCCGCGGGTCCCCCTGCCGCCCGCGGCGCCCGCCTCCTGGAAACCCCTGCGCAGGCCCTGGCGGCGGTGGGGACGGGGACGGCTGAAGGCACCCTGGCCTCGGGGCCTCCGGAGGGCGCGGCTGGCGGGGGTGGGGGCCCGGCGGGGGAGCCGAGGTCCAGCAGCCGCGGGGCGGGGCCGCTCGGCCCCCCAGGCCTCCCCTCCCCCGGTCGGCTGTGCCAGGGGCCGCGGCTGCACACGGCTCGGGAGGGTGCACAGCCCGGGCCTGCTCACGTCCCGCCTCCCCCAGGAAGCCTTCCGGGGCCTCAGCCCCAGCTCTGGAGGCTCCGTCTCCCCACAGACCGTGGGCCCCTCTACAGGCGGGGATGCTGCGCCCCCGGCCCCAGGAAACGAGACCCAGGACAATGGCCCGCGGCGGCGGGAGGCAGGAGGGGCAAGCGCGGTGGCCGGGAACTCCCCGGGGGGCCACAGCCCCCTGTGGGGGCCACGGGCACCAGGGCAGGCGGGGGCGCCCCTGAACACACGCACCCTTGAGGCGCCGCGCCCGGCTGCTGGCCCAAGGCCTCACCCCTGACCGTGGCGCCAGCAGGCTGGGTCCCCGCAGGCGGGGGCTGTGCGGGTGGGTGCCCGGCACCTGGCACGTCTGCAGGGTGCCAGGCTCGCGTGGAGCCAACATTCCAGCTCTGTTCAGCGCACTCCCCCCAGCAGCCCCTGGGCTGCAGTGACAGCCTGGCGTCCGGGGTGGCGGGGCCTCTGCGGGCGGGCACACAGCCTTGCTGCGGGGCTGCCCTGGGTCGCCGGGCTGCCCACTATCCATTCCGGCCTTGGCTTCCCCCTGGAAAGAGGGGACTGCCCCCACCTTGCCCTGTGGACACAAAGCCCCGACTCGGAGAAAAATTCTGCCCAGAGAGGTGCCCCGGTCCCCCGGGGCGGGGGGGGGGTGGCAAGTGAGCCCACCTTTTGCCGGAATTCACGGACGCCCCCAGGGGGGACGGTCTGCAGCCAATGCCCTTTGGAATGGTAATTTCTGGTGAGTTTGCTGTGACCAGGGAGGAGGGAGTACACAGTGCCCGCCCCAGACTGGCGCATGGGAGTGGGAGGGGAGTCCCCGGGTGTCACGCTGAAAACCTGGCGACAGGCAGGGCTGGGAGTCTGCCCAGGTGTGGTGTGGGACCCTGGGCAGGAGCCCGTGTTCTCAGCACCTCCGAGGCCCACACCAGAGTGAGGGGACCGGGGCAGGCAGTCTCCTGCAGTCTCCGGCCCGGTGTGGAAGCCACTCGTGTGTTCCCACGGGCGCACACCCAGCAGATCTCAATGAAACATTCCTGGATTCCTGCCCAGGCCTACATCTTTTTAAATAAATAAAAATTAAAAAGTTGCCTACGTTTTGAGAACCTTAGAGAAGGGGGGGGCAGGCTCCCCCCAGGGTCAGTCCCCAGGGAGGACGCAGAGCGTTCATCCAGGAGAGCCCTGCAGCAGTGGCCACGGCTGCCCACGCAGGTCTGGCTGCCTCCTCCAGGCAGCATGCCTGACTGCCCCACCCTGCAGCTACAGACCCACCCAGATGGTCCTCGGCCCCCAGCCTTTCTCCCCCGTGGGGGCTGCAGGTCCACACACAGCCCTCGGTCACAAGGCACAGGTGGGGTCTGTACCCTCGGGAAGAGGTGAGAGCATCGTCCATCCACTGGCGTGGCCACCCAGAGCCAGTGACCTTCCCTCCCAGACCATGAGCAGCCACCTGCAACCACAGCGCGCACCCTGCCACCATGCAGACCGCCCACTCCTGATGTGACCAGCCACGCGTCCCCCCAGACCAGACCACCTTTCCTGCCCCCCGCCCTGCAGCAGCCAGTAGGGCCAGCGCGGCCCCCGCCCGGTCGAGCCTTCCGTCTGGAGGGAGACCCACGCGAACACGGAACAGGTTCCGTGGTGGGACAAGCGCACGGCAGGGCTGGGAGGTGGGCACCTGGTCAAGGCCTCCTGCTGCCCCGGCAACCGCTGCAGCGAGCTGGGGCCTTCTGGACCTACCAGAGGCACCCACAGCACCCCGGCCCCTGGCTCCCCCCCACCCCAGCCCTCCGTCACAGCGGATGCCCAGGCCGGCGGCCGGAGCCCACCACAGCCCCCCATCCCCGCCTGCACACCCCTCGGCCTTGCCCAGGCCCATCAGGGCGCTGTTTGCACGGCCCCTCCCTCCCCTCACATCTCGGGTTGAATTTCGCCCCCCCGGCCACACATGGGCCCCCCACCCCACCTGCTTGCATCTCCAGTCCACTCCCCCCGCGTCCAGCCACCCGCCGGCCCCTCTGCCAATGGCCCATGGCACACTCCGTGTGTTCAAGGCTAACCCCTCCCTGGCCTCTGTCTCCCCCACCCCCGACAAGGGACAGCTACCCTCGGTCCCCAGTCAGACTCCGGGAGGCCATGGGGCCTCCTTGCCCCTTGTTCCCTCACAGCCGGTCACCAAGTCCCAGAGATCAGCCACTCAGAAGCTCTGGACATCCCTCCCCAACCTGGTCCAGGAGGGTCCCGGGCTGGGCATCGTGGGGTCCGCGGTCACCTGGGTGGTACCCCCTCCTCCCCTCCCGGGGCATCGACCTGAGCCCTGCCTGGCCTCCGCCTCAGTGTCCCCGTCCGTGAAATGGGGACGTGTGCGCCCACACGGGAGCCCGCGCTGGGGGCTCATCAGAACCACTGAGAGGCGATGCCAGGGGCAAGTACCACGTGGCCAAGGGCCTTCCAGGCTATGGGAATCCCAGGGGGCGGCTCGCGGCCGGGGCCTCGGCTTCCCCCATCGGAGCGACGAGTGTGCTGGGGAGGCCCTGGCCTCTGCAAACAGCCCCTCGACAGATGCACGGGGAGGGTGCGGAAGCCCTCCGTGCCCAGACCAGCCGTGCCGCGCCCTCCGGGGAGGGGTCAGGGTGCGAGCTCAGGACGCCCTTCTCAGACTGTCGCCCCTGAAGTCACCTTCACTTTGACCTGTGTCTTGGTGAACTAAATGAGGATGTGCACCTACCCTGGCGGGGCGTGTGTGGGTGACAGGGTGTTTTCCGGTTCCTCCCTGGCCCCTGGAAGCCCCCAGAAGTGCTTTCCCGCCTCACGGAGAACGATGAGCTCATGAGCGCGGGCCCCTCCGGGGTGCGATCCCCTCCCCTCCGGCCTTCCACCAGGAGCCCCTCCTGGACACTCTGGGGCGGGCGCGGGAGCCCGAGGATGGAGCCTGGGCTAGGGCTGGGGGTGCGGGCCGTGGGGGCTTGAGAGCCTTGCCTCTGAGACGGATGGCACGAGGACGTGTGGCAGGGATGTGCTGGTGGCCCAACACCCTTCCCCATCTGGCTCGAGTGAGTGGACGCACACACGGGAGGGATGTCTGGGGACAGACGCAGAGACACCAGGTGGGGAAGTGGGGAGACACCAGGTGTGTTACCTGTCCCAGAGCGAGGGCGAGGACCTGGCCAGTCGGCCCTGCAGGATGCGGGGCTGCCCGAGGCACGAGGGCACCCAGGGGCTGCGCAGCCTGTGGGCGAAGAGGACAGAGCCGCTCAGCACGGGGGCGCGGGCCGCGCAGGGCCGCCGTGGGCACGGACACAGAGGTGTGGAGCCCGCCCCCACACTGGGCAGTGGATCCCCGGGTCATCAGCAAGGTGTCAGAGTGCAGGAACCAGAGGGGGGACCCTGGCCTGTGCACCTGCCAGCCCTGGCTGGAGCCTGGCGGTGGCACTGCGTCCCACCAGCGGCAGGGGCCCTGCCGGCAGGTCTCAGCCTCAGAGAAGAGTCACGGGGGTAGGGTCCCCACAGCAGGACCCCGTGGCCGGAGACCCCCAGGGGGCACGGGGCGTGGAGGGACAGTGTGACGTCAGGCCCCACCTGTGCTGGGAGGCTGTGAAGGGCTCGTGCGTCTAGATAGGGGAGGGGGTCCTGGGGGCTGAGGGACCTGGCAAAGGCTAGGGGTCCCGGGCAGGGCCCACTTCACCCTCCCGGGGACCCCTTCTCACGCTGGGGCCCCTTGTGTCTGTGGCCGGGCTGTGGGTGGGCCGGAGGGGAGCAGAATCGGCTGAATGGATGCGGGAGGGAACCCAGGTGTGCCCTGCCCTTCTTTGGTGCCACCCAGCTGCGGACACCAGGAAACGCCCCCCCACCCCCCGCAGTGTGTCCAGGACGCCCCGCTGGCCTCGCCGGCCCCAGAGCCAAAGCCTGATGAGAGGACGCAGCCCCCGCAATGGGCTTCCAAACAACGCTCAGAGACGCGGCCTCTGATGGAGCCGCCTAATCCCACTCAAAAATAGCTGTGGACGGACGGCCACAAAACGCAAGGCAGCGAAAGGATGCTGTGGTGGTGGGTGGTGGGTTCCGGGTAATTTGAAATTTTTCTTCTGTACTTTCCTAGATTTGTCATATTGCCTATAGTGATGAAAAAGCAGGGGGGGGGATGTATTAAGGATCAAGTTTTGCACACAACCCCCCAGAAAATGACCTTACGGGCTGACTTGCCGGCTGAGCTGGGAGCGGGGGGTGGGGGCTGTGGCCCGGGCTCCGCGCTGTATGCGGTCACCACTCCCGCGAGCCCCCGTTTTCCCATCCGTGAGATGGGCTGCCCTTGGCCCCGGGTCCCCGAGCCCGGGCGCGGTGGGAAGGGCACTGGCTGGGCCTCCGGGTGGACGGGTCGCCCCAGAGACCACCCTCGGCCAACGACCCCCACGCTGCCGAGTGAGCGGAGCAGGGGCAGGACGGGCCGGGCTCCAAACCCCAGGCCTGTGGGGTCCCCCCCACCCCCGGCCCGCAGCCAGTCCTCACTCCAGAGGGCCCCCCCACGGAGGGGGGGCTGGGGCTCCTGGCAGGCGC